GTGAAGAAGTGCTGTGGATGAAAGGTCGCCGAGCGATTCTATTTATGCCTCCTTGAGACGATAAACGCAAAAAGTTCTAATACTAGACGGAAGTAGAATGATAGAGTAAACTGAGAAAAGCGAGGAGCAGGCTAGGTACGAGTATAACCTTCTCACAATAGCGAGAAGTTCAAGCCAGGTTGGGACGGCGGTGCAGCGGGGAAAGCATATAATTCGGATTCCTACGTACAATTTCCTTGGGTATACTGACTATTCGTCGTTTAATTAATTGGCGGGCGCTGGAATCCTAGTGAACAGGTGGATTTCCTTATTTGGGTGTCAATTTATCACGAAAGGTTGGTGTTGATAGAGACGGGGAGGTTTCAGCTCTTGTTTATTGCAAAGTGGATAAGAGCCAGGACCAAGTTGAATGCTGCTAGCTGGATGCGCGATTTGCACTCTGTTGTAACCGCCTACTCGACTAGCAATTATGATCATCGTTTGGTGTTGAATGAGCAACTTCATTCAGCCTCATTATTATAAAGGTGCGGCAAGCCACAAATATGTAGTTCCAAGTTGACTGGGGACTATCAAAGTATATTGTGGAGCTGTTAACCTAAATCTCATAGAGCTTGATGGAGAAGGTGTCGGGTTTGGAGCCTTTCTCGCGTACAACTACGCAGCCCGCAAACTCATTCCACACCCAATCGATCATCGGTACCGTACCAACCTCAAATGGCGACGGAGGCTTTCCTCTCATGGCCACATGAACAAAGTTACGATCGGAGACACCATCTCCAGCGTTGCGTCTAGTATTCTCCCAAGCCGGCTCGGCAAGTAAAAGTCCATCCCATCCCCCTCCTTGCTGGGTCACGCGGACAAGAACATGATGATGCCCAGCAGATGCCTGCTTGATTGGGTGGAATGTGCTTGCAGTCGACCATCCGCGCCCGTCTCGGAGAAATTGTGCAATGCGAGACATGGCCGTCGGAGCAAGGCTAGGGAGACGGGTGGTGAAAAGGTCAAGAGGGATGGTCCGCAGGAGTCTGGTCTGAATATTATCGGCATCAACCCAGAGTCTGTAGAGGTGAGCGGACATTTGACTAGCCCAACGCTCATATTCGCCAGGAGCTAGAGCCCAGAAAGCTATTTGGGGCATTTCGTTCTGCTGACTATCCGTAAGGGGAGCGGGGACGTGCGTAGGAAATAGCAATTTTCTATCAGACGTGCCGAAACGAAAGGCTTCTGTTGTTGGCCGGTCATACAGATCAGAGGTCGAAGGGGTTTCAAAAAAGGTACCAATATCGATAGCCATGATGTGAGAATTGGCGATACAGACGACGAGACGCTCGTCATATATTTGCATGTCTGTAACAGCAGCCTAGGATGAAGGAGCATGAGGCTGAGGGTAAGCAAAGGTTTAAAGCGAACATACCGGCATGGTATATTGCGCCGTCAGGTGTCGTCTCATGTCTCGTAGATGAATGATATGTTGCTTTAATCCATTTGACTCAATGCGGTTGGTGACATATGCCAGGAGTGGTCCGAGGAAACGAAGCCTGATCAAAGTATGGTTCTCCGCGACGGCTACGGGTGATAGCATGTGAAGATTTGGCGTAAAATTGGATAAGTCCTTTGAATCATGATGAAGGTCCTGGAAGTATATTGCCAGGTCGCTCCCCCTAATGGGCGCAGCAAACTTAGTGTTGCTTCTGGTGATGTCAGGGACTAGGCTTACAGCAGCGTTCTGACAACTACAACACCCTCTTTTCCATCTCTTTTGAACAAGTGAGCCGCAATGAGAGTAGATATCGGACGCTCATCCTGTTGCAACCAGCAGGTATACTTCCTCCCAGTTCGTCGGTCCAACATTGTCAGCTGAGTCATCAGCCAGATGACCACCACCTCACCCCCCGCAGTAATTGCCATGTTGATGAATACTGCGGTCGGCTCATCCTCAAGAATATGTGACTGGGGGTGTAGTGTCGGATGTGGAATGGTTAATAAATGCTCAACACGCAAGATGTCTACAAGTCGATTACGAGGGTGGCTCCGGTCTTCTAAAGAAAGTGAGCTCGTTGTCGGTACTATGGATTTGATGCTGTGGAAAGATTGGCTAGCAGTTGAATCCTGAGGTGACAATGCTGGAGGTTCTAGTGCTGGAAGAGGACGGTCCTCCGCTAATCGATGCCACAGCGCTGTCCATGGATCCCGGTAGCCACTTAGCGCCCTCAGTCTCTGACAAGTCTTATGTGGAAAGGAGTGGGATAGGGTCCATCAGTCGTCCCGCCAACGTTCAAGCTAGGCTACCTAACAGACTCACGCGGCCGACTGCGATCAGGTCGCGCAGACGCAGTTCGTAGTGTAATATATCTATTATAATGTCATCCGGGAGGCCAAGAAGACGAAAGGACATTGGGTAGGTCTCGCTCTGGCGCCCCGATGGAGGTGAATCAAGGCTTGGCAACGGTGATGGATTGGTAAACAATAAACAAGCGTACACTCAGACTTGGGCGACTCATGCGGCTGTCTACACGCACCACTTGTCATGATCGCGGGCCGCGCGCGCTGAAACCAAACAGAACAAGACAGGTCATGCGTATGGACTGTATGTATTGACTCGCAAAGCTATCATAGCACTTCCCATCATTACACAGTCCCCTTCCTATCCTTGAGTTAGCCCGGCTTTGTCGAGAATTTCTGAACATTCTACCCCTATTCGAATATGGTAGAATGGCTCAACCGTAAACCCCTTCCTGATGAGCTTAGGGATGCCTTGACAATGTTAGCCGGCCAGCAGTTCTATGAAGAGTTCTGGACATACACACTGCTGTAAGCACACGCACCACTGCTTGAGCCGCTGCAGGGCTTTCTTGATGATCCTCGAACGTTCCTCGAAGCTGGCTGGTGCACAAGTCCGACATCACTGTCTCCAGGTGGTGCGAGCGCTCCTACGTGTCCAACTTTCCGTTTCTATCCCTTCGCAACCCCGACAATGAAATCATCATGGTTGTCACTTGGGAAGCACCTCCAGGACCCGAGTTCCCCGCCAAAGAATTCTTGCGGCCATTTTCGTCGGTGGCATTAAAACAAGATAGTGTCGTCAGGGTGCACGCTGCTAGCACTCGGATCGAGAAGTGCCCTTTCATCCTTACATCGGGGCTGGGCTCCAGGGAACGCAAGTTCGCGAGCTTTATGCCACGCGGCACGACGTCGCAACATACAACTTTCAAATCACCAGCAACTACAGGAGGTCCGCCCCAATCCTGGAAGTTTGACGTATTGGAGGTTGAAGGATTGAATCAGCTTGTTCAAATTATCGAGCTGGCTGTCCTTGATATTCAACACCAACCAGTCGAGCTCGAGCTCGAACAGTATCCGACGGCGGAAGTCGTGGAACTAGCGCGGGGCATCCAATGGCAAGCTGGAAGCATTCCTCGAGGAGCATCTCGCACTCTCAAACCGGCGTCAGGCCCTCCGAACAAGGTGCGTCATTATGAGAGGCCATGAACTAACGCTGATTTTCTACCGCTTTTTTCCTCAGGTGTCCATCCAAAAACAAAAGGGAATAGGTATCTGGTCTCTACCAGCCGAGATCAAGCTCATGATCATCGAATGCCTCCCTCCTTCAGAGATTCGTGGGCTTGCTACAGCTGATCGCGTTTGGGCCGATCTTACTTCGGCCAAGCTCTGGCATACCTACAGGCTCAAAGACAGCATCAATACTCGCAAATCTAACACGACTACAACGCTTCAGCGTCGACTAAATGCAATTCTCAGTCACCCAGCCCGCCTTCGCGCGCTCAGGACTCTCATCATTGGCCCATGCACGTGGTGCTGGACTCCAGATCTGCTCCATCAGGTTGTGCTTGTGATCAAGCAAGCGCCAGGTTTACAGGACCTGCGGTTAGAAGCTGAGAGTGGAATGTTGCGCTTTGCTCCGGTCCTTGTTTCACCTATCCTCCTCTCATTGATCGACATCTCGTCGGAATTCCATCTGATCTCTTTTCAATGCAACTTTTCACTCACTGGAGAGTCAGTTCTCAAGAGGTTCTTGGAGAGTCAGCCATCTATCAAAAGCCTCTATATCACAACCAACCCCGTAAACTACCCAGAGCGCTACAACGCTACCTATTTTGACCCCTTGACCTTCTTGCCAAATCTAGAGGCCCTAGGTGCTTGCGACACATACACATTCACGTGGCTCGTCCCGAAACGACCCGTGGGTACTATACTGCTTCATTTAGAAACACTTCCTCCGTCAAAAGATATGGAGACATTTGTCAATA